GGGACTCCAGGATCATGACCTGAGCCGAAGGGAGTAGCTTAACCAACTGAGCCACCCAGGCGCCTTGGAACTTCTTTTTTGAAGTAATTTTAATTTTTTAATTATTATTTGTTTAAGTTTTTATTTAAATTCCAGTTAACATACAGTGTAATATTAGTTTCAGGTGTACAATTTAATGATTCAGCACTCACATATAACACTCAGTGCTCATTGCACTAAGTGCATTCTTTTTTTTTTTTTTAAAGATTTTATTTATTTATTTGAGATAGAGAGAGAGCACAAATGGAGGGCAGAGGGAGAGGGAGAAGCAGGCTCCTCGATCCCAGGACCCTGGGACCATGATCTGAGCCAAAGGCAGATGCTTAACCAGCTGAGCCACCCAGGTGCCCCCCACCAAGTGTACTCTTTAAGCCCTATCACCTATTTTACCCATCCCCACCACCCACCTCCCCTCTGGTAGCCATCAGTGTGTTCTCTTCTTGTTCTCTTCAGTCTGTTTCTTGGTTTGCCTCACTCTCTTTTTTCCCCTATGCTCATTTGTTTTGTTTCTTAAATTCTGTATATGAGTGAAATCATATGGTGTTTCTCTGACTTGTTTTGCTTAGCATAATACTCTCTAGTTCCATCCACATTGTTGCAAATGGCAAGATTTCATTCTTTTTTATGACTGAGTGATACTCCTATATATATATATATATACACACACACACACACACACACACACTTCTGTAGCCATTCATCAGTCAGTGGACATTTGGGCTGTTTCCATAATTTGGCTATTGTAGATAATGCTGCTATAAACACTGGGGTGCATGTATCCCTTTGAAATTAGTATTTTTGTATCCTTTGGCTAAATACCTAGTAGTGCAGTGGTTGGATCATATGGTAGTTCTATTTTTAACTTTTTGAGGAACCTCCATACTGTTTTCCAGAGTGGCTGTACCAGTTTGCTGAACTAATTTTTAGTTTAAGCATGGGGATTTAAAAGTGTTTGCTTGCTAAATTAAGGGTCATCAGGTATATTTCCCTTTGCCTTTGAAATTGTCTTGGCCCTCTGAATCTACTCTCTAGTAGTCTGTATCCTGGATTTTTTTTTTAAAGATTTATTTATTCATTTG